GGTCTGGACAAAGAGCAAAAGGTCAGATCATGCTGCTTTTGTTTGATTCCCATACAACTTTCATTTTAACAAGCATTTATCAGGAAGCCATCCACAAGTGCAGGATCGGGCCTTTGCTTGTCCTGGGGATGCCTGTCAGGAAGAACAGCTCGAGGTGACCATACTACTTTCACTGAGACAGAAGGACTATCGTGTTCCTCATAGGAGGGTGAGCTGAGGACACTGACGTTGGCTTTCCAACCAGGTCCTTCCCCACCGTCCTGCCCTTGTGAGAAATGTGTCCTGCAATGAACTTCATATTAGAGAGCAAATAAAATAGTCAAGCACTGTATGATCAGCTAGACTTAAAGCACACGTGCATACACACACAAACAAACAGAACCAACAGTCTCTTTGTGTTTAAAGATAACCAACTGTCACTTAGCTTTCTTGTTTTTTTTTTGAGTTGGAGTCTCACTGGAGTTCAGTGGCCGCTCCCGGCCACTGCAACCTCGACCTGCTGGGCTCCGGCGATCCTTCCACCTCAGCCTTCCAAGTAGCTGGAAGTACAGGTGCGTGCTACCACACCTGGCTAATTTTTTGATTTATTGTAGACATGAATCTCACCAAGTTGCCCAGGCAGGTCTCGAACCCGTGGGCTCAGGCAATCCACTCACCTCAGCCTCCCAAGGCGTGGGATTACAGGGTGAGCCACCGAGCCCGGTTAGCTCTTTCTTCTTAAATGTCTTACTTTCTAGCCTATTCTGAAGAGGCCCTTCTAGTATACAGATTAACTCCTAGACCCTAAGCTAAGTCTGCAAGGGTTGCCTGCAACATTTTTTTTTTTTTTGAGTTGGAGAGTCTCACTCTGTTGCCTAGGCTGGAGTGCAGTGGCACGCTCACAGCCTCGACCTGCTGGGCTCAGTTGATCCTTCTGCCTCAGCCTTTCAAGTAAACGGAACTAAAGGCATGTACCACCATGCCTGCCTAATTTTTTGATTTATTGTAGAGATGAGATCTTGCCAATTTTCCCACGTTGGTCTCGAACCCGTGGGGTCAGGCAATCCTCTCATCTCGGCCTCCCAAAGTGCTGGGATTATAGGTGTGAGCCACTGCACCCTGGCTGTAACCTTATTTTAAAAGGTAACTGATAATATTAGTCAGTACTTCTCCAAGGATGGTCCCAGGACCAGCATCATTGGCATCATCACCTGAGAATGTGGTAGAAAAAAACCACAGATTCTCAGGTTCCACCCTGACCTGCTGGTAGGTCCCAGGTATCTATGCTTTTGGGTTTGTTTTATGGTTGAAATTTGACAACCACTGCTCTAAAGTTGTGCTTCCTCAGGGTTTTATCTGTATCACACAACTACGAGACCAACTCCTACAAGGCTCAGAGGACTTGCTAGCAAAGTGTTGGTTCTTTGTTTCTAGAGCAAGCATTCAATGAACTCATAGGCTACAGAGATGGAACCTATTGGGCTCTGTGCGGTACACCATTTCCATATATGGATCCAACAACTGATTCCGATTATCTTTGATAATGACGACCTGGGTATTCATGAGGTATGAAGCCCATAAATAAATTGGAATATTTTAGGATTTGCGTTCAACCTCTCTCTCTCCTTTCTCTAAATCTTTACCAGAGAAGCTAAAAGCACCAACACTCCTTGATTTCAGTTTATTTCTCTTCCCTACCTTTGGCCAACTCCTAACAGTAGGATGGTCTTGCAGCGAAAGGGTTGAGGTCTAGGGAGAGAGACTGCCTAGACCATTCACAAACTACAGTCCCAGTTAGGGGATTTCCATCAATCATTCATTCCCTTCTTTGTTCCAGAAAGGATCTTAAAAAGATGTCTATAAGATAAAAATAACAGGTGATGAAATCAGAGTAAAGGGGGAAGAAAGGTTATGTTGGTACATAAAATGCAATCAGTAGGGTTTTGAGTGTATTTTTGAGAGATGAGCCTAGAACATCTTGTCATATGAGAAGAAATCAAAAAGGCTATTAAAGTCTTGTTAGAATTATGTCAAAAAAACTCAGAGGAATGAACCTGAACAGGCTTCCATGGACCAAAGATGAGAAATTACCTTCCTCCTAATGGGTACATAAATCAGGTTCTAAGTTTACTAGCAGCCAACATAAAGATGGAAACGAATGCAATCTGTTACATGATTTACAAGGTCCTTAAGATAAAAATAAACCAGTTGCTAAGGAAAAACACAAGTATTCCTGATCTTGACAGGAATTCCTCCCTTGGATCAGTTTCTGAAGAATCTACAGTTGGCTGTTATTTTTAAAGCAAGGGGGGGGAAGACAAATCAAATCTCAACATTATCACTATATCTTGATCCTTGTTTCAAAATATACTCTTCTATAACTAAAAGTTGTTTAAGAGAGCTGTCTGGAGATCTTATAAAATTGTTACCAAAAGCAACAACAAAAGAAGAAAGAAAGAAAGAAAAGAAGAAAGAAAAGAAAGAAAAGAAGAAAGAAAAGAAGAGAGAAGAGAAGAAAATAGGGGAGAGAGAGAGGGGGAGAGAGAGAGAGAGAGAGAGAGAGAGAAAGAAAGAAAGAAAGGAAAAGAAAGAAAGAAAGAAAGAAAGAAAGAAAGAAAGAAAGAAAGAAAGAAGGAAGGAAAGAAAGAAAGAACTGTGCCCCAGATCAAACCTGCACATTTGACTTCCTTGCAGAGAACAACAGTGTCAAGATTCCTTACAAATTTGCCTTCCAAAATGCTGCCTGGTCTAACTTGGGAGCTACTATACACGCATGTGGGCACATGCACACGTGGGCACATGTTAAATTTGTTTCACCATCATGGATTCAGAAGAGCCCTTTAAATCAGACTTGAATGTGCATATTGGTGAATATAAATGTTTCCAGGTGCTACAGGAAATTAAGAGCAATTACCACAGATGACTGTCTTCCACGAATCTTACCTTTTTTACTCATTCAAAGAGGCCTTTACAGTCATTAAGCTCAAATTCATGCTCCCTGCTACACTGGCAGGATTAGTTTGGCTCTCCTGGTGTGACAAAATCTGGTTTCCAAATCTGTGGGAATTCTAAGCCACTCAGCCTTTTGCATATCTGTATGCATATGTATAGGCAAACATAAGCTTATGTATACATAATCTTAGTCTTATTATTATTTTTATTATTTTCTATACTAATAAAAATACAATCCTGCTTATATGTATATGAGGTAGATAGTGACTGTCCACCCTTTCCACAGTACTTATTATCTTCTTTTTTTTTTTTTTTTGTTGAGCTGGAGTCTCACTCCTTCGTCCAGGCTGGAGTGCAGTGGCACATATGCTCACAGCCACCCCAGCGTTGACCTGCTGGATTGCTCCAGCAATCCTTTCGCCTAAGCCTTCCAAGCAGCTGGAACTACAGGAGCACACTACCACACCCAGCTAATTTTTTATTTATTGTAGAGATGAGGTCTCGCCAAGTTGCCCGGGCTGGTCTTGAACCCACATGGGCTCAATCCACTTGCCTCAGCCTCCCAAAGTGCTGGGATTACAGGCTGAGCCACCAATCCTGGCCCACAGTACTACTCATAACAAGCACTACTCATAACAAGCACTACATGTTTTCTACACATCAATTCAGTTTATTCTCACAACACTCTCACAGTGTATGCATTTTTATCATTATCTCTATTTTGCTGATAAGAAAACTGAGTCACAGAGGGGTGAAGAACTTACCAAGGACTCAGCAGTAAGTGGCAGCGCCAGAGCTGAGCCTAGCTTGAGTCCATGCTCTCAGCCATGGAGCCATACCTGTCCACAGACTGGAACTATCTGTTGTGGACATATACATAGGTTTTAAAGTCTCTAAATTAACTGCTTAAAAAAGTACAATTATTAAATAAAAACCCTGTAAATCTTGACTCTGTAACAGGAGTGTCAATATAAACTGAAGATATATTTAATGCTCAAAAATTAACAAAAATTAAAAATCCATAGATTCAATACAGCTCTTTTTACTGAAATGGCCTTAAAACAACGAACAAACCCTTGTAGCAATGAGCGCCCCTAGTACTCAGAATCTGTTTTCTAAATACTTTTCCATCCAATAAAAGGAATCAAGACTTTTTGGACAAACGTACAACACGAGCCCAGGATATCTTGTCAGATGAGAAATCACGAAAGCAATGACAAAGTCCTAGAATCATGTCAAAAGGATTTAGGAGACTCCTAAATAGGCTCCCATTGGCCAAAATGGAGACATTACCGTCCTCACAGTGGAAGTGCAAAATACCAACCATGATGTCATTTTTTAAAAAAAGTTAAAAACAACCTGATTCCAGTCAGGTCATTAAGTCTAGCTACCAACTTTCAGGACATACAGAGGGCATGTTAACATGCTGAATAATACCACAGGAAAGCTATCAACAAAACTCAGACTGTGGGAAACTACTCTATAGGACACAGAGCCATAGAAACTTTCTTCAATAAAAACATTTCAAGAAAGAGAGAAGAGTGACATAAGTTGGGCAGGATCTGTAGATTTTAAGAAACCCAGAAGTGGCCAGACACAGTGGCTCAGCACTTTGGGAGGCAGAGGCAAGAGGACTGCCTGAGCCCATGGGTTCGAGACCAGCCTGAGCAACATGGTGAGACTTTGTCTCTACATAAATCAAAAAATTAGCTGGGCATGGTGGCATGCACCTGTAGTTCTAGCTATCTGGAAAGCTGAAGTAGAAGGATTGCCTGAACTCAGCAGGTCCAGGCTGCAGTGGCCATGAGCATATCACTGCACTCCAGCCTAGGTGACGGAGACTCTGACTCAAAAATAAATAAATAAATAAAAATTAAAAAAAGAAAGAAACCCAGAGGCGATGGCAGTGAGAATCCTACTTTTAACCTTCCATAATCTGGGTAGCAGGGCTTCCTTTCTGTGTGCTGTCTGAAGTAGTTCAAGGCAATGGCAAATGAGAAGTGCTGCTTAATATCCATGTTCCATGAATGACATGCCCATTTCCCCTTGGACACCTGTGCATCACTCACCGCTCTTCCATGAGTTCCCGGATAGAGGCTACCGTGGGGCCAGATCCCAGGTGAGTATAATAAGGACCTTCATCTTTCTCCACTATTTGTTCTGCAGAAACAGAAAAGAGTAAACATTATTTGGAGATATCACTTAGTCTACACTAATTGAGAAAGGCAAACACCAACAGGAAAATGAATAGACACCTTACAAAACAGGAAACCCAAATGGATCATAAACATTAGAAATCAGAAAATATAAAATCACAAGGCAACATCATTACATGTGTACCAAATCAACAAAAATGTAAACATTTGATAAAACCAAGTATGTCATCAAGACTGTTATCTAACTTTGAAATTCCACATGCCATTATGCAGTAAAGCTAAATTTTGCATTCTGCATGATAGACCAGGAGTCAGCAAGCTACCTCACTCCTAGATAAATACCCAGTCAAACTGAAAAAAAAGACTCAGACAGACACCTGTAGGCCAATGTTCATAGCAGCATTTATTTACCACATCCCAAAGGTGGAAACAACACAAGTGTCCATCAACAGATGAATGGATAAAATGTGACATCCCTATAGTAGAATATGTTATTCAACCATAAAAAGGAATGAAAGTTTGATGTATTCCACTACATGAACCTTGAGAACATTATGCTAAGTGGAATAAGCCAGACACAAAAGTAATACCGTATGATTCCACAGATATGAAACAGCTAGAAGGGCTGGGAACAGTGGCTCATGCCTATAATTCCAGCATCTTGAGAAGCAGGAGAATTGCTCGAGGCCAGGAGTTCAAGACCAGTCTGGGCAACACAGCAAGAAATGTTTTAAAAAATGAGCTGGGCATGGTGACACATGCCTGTAGTTCCAGCTACAGGAGGCTGAGGTTGGATAACTGCCTGAACCCAGGAGGCTGAGGCTACAGTGACCCATGATCATGCCACTGCACTCTAGCCTGGGGGGGGGGGGGGGGGAGGAGGAGGAGGAGGAGGAGAAAAAAGAAACATCTAAAAGAGGCAAAGTCATAGAGACAGAAATTAGACTAGAGATTATCAGGAGCTGGGAGAAGTGGGGGATGGAGAATCATTGCTTTGGATACACAATTTCTGTTTAGGATGATGAAAAACTTTTAGAAATATAGAGTGGTGACAGTCACACAATATTGTAATTGTAATGAATACCACTAAACTGTAAATTTAAACATGATTAAAATGGCAAATTTTATGTTACATATATTTTACCACAATTTAAAAAAAAACTTAATTTCATGTTAAGTGAAAGAAGTCAGATACAAAAAGGTTACATATTATATGATTCCAATCATATGAAATATCCAAAAATAGGTAATGCCTATAGAAACAGAAAGCAGATTGGTGATTGCTGGGGTGGGGGGGCTGGGGGTAAGAAGGGGTGGGGAATAACTGCTTAATGGGTCCAGGGTTTTATTTTGGAGTGATTAAAATGCTTTGGAACTAGACAGATGACAGTTGCACAATATTATTAATGTACTAAACGCCACTGAATTGTTCACTTTAAATGATTAGTTTTGTGTTATGTGAAGTTCACCTCAATATTTAAAAAAAGAACTAATCATTTAAGTAACAACATGAATACATTTAATTTTATTTTTTTTATTTTTTATTTTTTTTGAGTTGGAGTCTCACTCTGTCGCCCAGACTGGAGTGCAGTGGCCGCTTCCGGCCACCGCAGCCTCAACATGCTGGGCTCCGGCGATCCTTCTGCCTCAGCCTTCCGAGTAGCCGGAATTACAGGCATGCGCTACCACGCCCAGCTGATTTTTTTTTTTTTGTTTTTTGTTTTGATTTATTGTAGAGATGAGGTCTCGCTGCCCAGGCGGGTCTCGAACCCGCGGGCTCAGGCAATCCACTCACCTCAGCCTCCCAAAGGCGCGGGATTACAGGCTGAGCCACCGAGCCCGGCTTAATTTTATTTTTAAAATTATTTTTATTTTAAAGATGTGGGGTATAATTCAGGGTTAGGTACATAAGTGGTCATTGAATAGGTCAAGTTTGGGTACCCTTATTGATGTCATGTACCTTCCCCCTCCCTCCCCTGGCAGTGTCCCACTACTGCCAATCCCTTTTGTTTTGTTTTGTTTTTTTGAGTTGAAGTCTCACTCTGTCACCCAGACTGGAGTGCAGTGGCCATTCCCGGCCACTGCAGCCTCGACCTGCTGGGCTCCAGCGATCCTTCCGCCTCAGTCTTCCAGTAGCTGGAACTATAGGCATACACTACCACGCCCGGCTAATTTTTTTATTTATTGTAGAGATGAGGTCTCGCCAAGTTGCACAGGTGGGTCTCAAACCCGCGGGCTCAGGCAATCCACTCACCTCAGCCTCCCAAAGCACGGGATTACAGGCTGAGCCACCAAACCTGGCTACCAATCCCTTTCTTATAGCATTATGATAAATGTTCATAAATGTTCGGGGTATGCTTATGAGTGAGTACATGTAGTACTTTGTTTCTGTGATAAATCACTGAGTATTATAGACTCTAAATCCATTCAAGTTGCTGTGAAGTCCACAATTTTGTTTTTCTTTATGGCTCCATAATGTTACATTATATACATGTACGACATTTTTTAAATCCAGTCCACTTTCGATGGGCAGCACAATTGGTTCCTCGTTTTTGCTCTTGTGAATAATGCTGCAATAAACATGCATGTACAGGTATCCTTTTTATAGAGTGATTTGAGTTTCTCCAGGTATATTCCCAGATGGGAGATTGCTGGGTCCTATGGAAGGTCGATTTTCAGATTCTTTAGAAATTACCACACAGTTTTTCACAGAGGTCGTACTAGTTTATACTTCCACCAACAGTGTAGAAGTGTTCCCTTTTTCTGCATTCTCTCCAGCATCTATTGTCTTTTGAGTTCCTGATGATGGCCATCCTGACCAGAGTTAGGTTGTATTTCAGTAGTGTGGTTTTAATTTGCACTTCTTTGATTATTAGTGAGGCTGAGCATCTTATCATGTATCTGTTTGCTGCTTCTTCTGAGAAGTGTCTATTCATATCTTTTGCCCACTTTTTAATAAGGGTTGTTTTTTTCCTTTTGGCACATTTGAGTTCCTTGTAGATTCTGGATGTTAGGCCTTTGTCAGATCCACAGTTGACAAATATTTTTTTCCCCATTCTGTGGGCTGTTTCTCTGCTCTCTTGATGGTTTCTTTTGCTTTGCAAAAGCTTTTCAGTTTGATGAGGTCCCACTTGTCTATCTTATCTTTTATGGCATTAGATTTTGGAGAGTTGATCAACAATTGGCTGCCCATTCTAATTTCCGTAAGGGTGTTTTCTACATTTCCTTCTAGGATTCTTATAGTTTGAGGTTTTACATTTAGGACTTTTATCCATTTAGAGTTGATTTTTGTGTATGATGATAGGTAGGGGTCCTGTTTCAATCTTCCGCATGTGGTCAGTTTTCCCAGTAACATTTACTGAATAGGGTCTCCTTTCCCCAGTGGTTGTTGGTGGAGGTTTTATCAAAGATGAGTTGACTGAGAAATTGAGGTTTCCCTTCCAGAATCGCTATCCTGTTCCATTGGTCTATATGCCTGTTCTTGTACCAATACCAGGCTGTTTTGATTATTGTAGCCTTATAGTAGAGTTTAAAGTCTGGAAGTGTGATACTTCCTGCTTTGTTTCTTTTTGTTAAGGACTGTTTTGGCTATTCATGGTCTTTTATGTTTCTAAATGAATTTCTGTATTGTCATTTCCAGGTCTGAGAAGAATGATGCTGTAATTTAATGGGTATTGAGTTAAATTTGTAGTTTGCTTTTGGTAGGATGGACATCTAAACAATGCTAGTTCTTCTTCCAATCAACATGGATAAATTTTAAATACACTTTTCTAAGAAACCAGAACCAAAAGGCTAGTAAGAGCAACTTTGGAACACAGCGTTTTGACTGTATACTATGAGGCTAACAACAAAAAGAACTATACACATAGTGGTGCATGTATACCACAGTTGGTAAGTTTGTTTCATGTCTAAGAAGACAGGACAATTAAATGTAATATAACCTACACTGGGTCCTATAATAAGAAAAGAATCATTAGTGGAAAAACTGAAGAAATTTAAAATGTCTATAATATTATTGTACCAACTTTAATTTCTTAGTTTTAAATATATCATAATTATGTAAGATGTTTACATTAGGAGAAGGTATGTAAAAGGTATACAGGAACTCCGTACCACCTTTGTAACTTTCCTATAAATGTAGTACTTCAAAACAAAAAGTCTTTTAAAAGTAAAATAAACAACCAAAAAAACCTAGGCAGTGAACCATAATTTGCTGATACTATCCTAGAAGAAATCTTGGTCGCACACATCAAAACATACATATGAAGATTTTCACAGCAACAATGTTTGCAAGAGTCAACACTGAAAACAGCCTGCTGTGGAGTGAATGTGTGTCCCTCCCAAATTCTTACATTGAAGGCTAATCCCCAATGTGATGGCATTTGTAGGTAGGGCTTTGGGGAGGCAATTAGGTCAGGAGAATGGAGTCTTCCTGAGTGGGATTAGTGCCCTTATAAGAAGGGACACCAGAGAGCTTGCTTTCCCTCTGCCTACTCCTTCCCTTCTCGGTCATTTGAGGCTACAGCAAGGAGGCTGGCTGTCTACAAGACAAGAAGGAGGCTCTCACCGGATGCAGGATCTGCTGGTGTCTTGATCTTGGAATTCTCAGCCTCCATAACTGTGAGAAATAAATGTTTGTTGTTCAAGCCACCCAGGCTATGGTATTTTTATTATAGCAGCCCAAACAGACTACAACACAACCTATAATCCAGCAACAGTGGATTGAATAGTGAAATGTAGTAGTTATATAAAATGGAATACATCCAGCAATGAGAATCAACACCTACAACAGCATGGTTGACATATATTATCACGTTGCATGAAAAAAGTATAACACAGAACAAATAGAGTAATATTACAAATAGAGTAATATTTCCATCTATGCAGCTTAGAGATCCATGCATAGTTGGTAAAATTACTATGTTGGAATATGAAATTGTAGATATTCAATGATTTCTGACCTACAAAAATGGCCACTTTATATGGTTTGGCCTCAATATAAGG